GGATTGGAAGAGGAGCAGCCGGGACTAGAATCAGCACCCATGTGGGATGCCAGTGTTGCATGCAGAGGATTAACATACTGAGCCATGGGGCCAGCCCCAATAAATTCAATTTTAATATCAAGACTCATAAAGACTAACAGTGAAAGGACAGAAAAAGATTTATGATGTCAGCACTGAACACCTGAAAGCTGGAGCAGACAAAGGGGTGAAGCCAGCTGGGACCAGACGGAGCCCTACAGGGCATCTCTCTCAGAAGTGCTGGGGGCAGCTGGGCAAAGACAGGCATCTCTCTTCTTATTTGATTTCAAAGGCAGAGCGACAGAGTGAAACGGTCAGAGACAGACCAAAGGAGATCTTCCGCCTGCTAGTTCACTCCCAAATGCCCACAGCAGACAGGGCTGGGTCAGGCCAAAGCCAGAGCTCCAGCTGGGTCTCCCATGTGGGTGACAGACAAGCACTTGGGCTGTCATCGGCTGTCCCCCGGGGCACACAGCAGGAAGCTGAACCGGCAGCAGAGGTGGAACCCGGCCCGGGCCGGCCAGTCCGCCACATGGGCCCCCCCAGCAGTGAGAACCCCCGCCCCACAGCGCCCAGCGGTGTTCAAGCGCAGTCACTAATACCGGGGGAGACATTTATCTCATCTGGAGGGAGGAGTCAGCACAATGCACCTGCAGAAGCTCACGGGTAGCCCCCTCTCCACGCTGGAGCCTGCACCCTCACTGCTGATGCAGGGGGAACACAAGCTTGCCAGCGAGAGGCCGCTCACTGCTGCCACGTTCCAAACAGCCTGGTGCAGGTCAACTCAAGGATCGAACCCCACCCCAGGGCCTTTCACATCCTTGGGACACGAGAACGAAGAATCGTTCTGGGCCAGCGCTACGGCCTAGTGGGTTAGGCCTCCGCCTGCAGCACCAGCATCTCTATGGGCGCCGGTTCCTGTCCCAGCTGCTCCTCTGCTGATCCAGCTCTCTGCTGTGGCCTGGAAAGCAGTGGAAGATAGCCCAAGCAGTTAGCCCCCTCCAGCCGTGTGGGAGACCTGGAAGAACTCCGGGCTCCTGGCTTCGGATCAGCCTGATCTGAAGAAGCTCGGGCCACTCTGGCTGTTGGGGCATGAATCAGCAGAGAGAAGACCTCTCTGTCTCTCCCTCTCTCTGTAACTTATTAACTCTCAAATACATAGATCTTAAAAAAATCTTCCATGTCTGGGTGCCACAGAGGGAAAGAGGAGACAAACAAGGGAGCCCCTAAAAGAAGAGACTTTCTGGGGGTCAGCGCTGTGGCTCAGTTTAGGTTAATCATCTGCCTGCAGAGCCGGCATCCCATATGGGTGCTGGTTCTACTCCTGGCTGCTCCTCTTCCAATCCAGCTCTCTGCTATGGCCTGGGAAAGCAGCAGGAGATGGCCCAAGTCCTTGGGCTCCTGCTCCCGCATGGGAGAGCCAGAAGAAGCTTCCAGTTCCTGGCTTTGGATCAGCGCAGCTCCAGCCGTTGAGGCCATTTGGGGAGTGAACCAACAGATGGAAGACTTGTCTCTTCCTCTCACTGTAACTCTACCTCTCAGATAAATAAAATCTTTAATATAAATTTAAAGAAGACGACTTTCTGGGCCTGCCAGACTGGAGTGAGTGTATTTTCTGGGCTGGTGGGACCCGGGAGTTGTTCCCTCACAGCTGTCGAAGGTTTGTGGCCCCTCACCGGGCTCAGGCCTGCAGGGCCAGCGCGCTGGGCCTGGCTGCAGCCCCTCCTGAGCTGCATCTTGATCTCGGGTGAACACTTTCCACAGCACCCATGCAAGCCGGTCACTCTGATCGTGGGCATGGTGGCTCCTCCACAGCCCACCGGAGGGATTCTCAATCCTCCTGGGCCTCAGGGGACCACAGAGGCCACGTGAGGCACCGGGGGCCACTGGCCTAAGGCTCGTGTATCCCAATGGGAAGGGGCAGTGGTTGCAGACGACGGGGCTCCGGTGGGTGCTCTGCCTGCGGCCCTGGGGAGCAAGCAGAGTCCCTGAGAACTGCGAGGGAACTCCCGCTCCCTCGCTGCTGCGGGCATTCCGAGGAGGGGCTCAGCCTCTCTAGATCTTTCCTTCCTGGGACTTGGACCTCATGTCCTGGCTCCGGCCTCCTTCCCCTCCCAGTCACACTTTCCCATCCTCCAGATGGCTTTTCCCGGGAACTCGTCCTAAGACATGACTTTCGTAGGAAAATGTCTGAGAGTTATGTGTCGTCCGAGGAGGAGGTGGCAGGCAGAGACGCCTGCTCTGTGCTCTCCGCCACACCTCCTCCCTGCACTGCCGGGCGGTCTGTTCGCAGCTGCCCTGAGCAAAGAAGGCAGAGGCACGAAGGCTGGCTCAGCACTAAAACTCACTCACTGGAATACCTCGTATTAACAGGCTGAAGAACACAGGGCCAGTGCTGCAACACAGCGGATTAAGCTGCCACTGGCCATGCTGGCACATACTGGAGAGCCAGTTCAAGTCCCGGCTACTCCATTTCTGACCTAGCTTCCGGCTGATGTGCTTGGGATGGCAGCCAGTGACGGCTGAAATACATGGGCCCCTGCCACCACACGGGAGAGCCGGATGGAGTTCCGGAATCCTGGGTTCATTGCAGCCGGTTGGGAATGACCCACTGGATACAACATGTCTTTCTCCCTCAGTGACTCTGTCAGCAGGACATCCTAACTTGTTAAAGGATATAAATAAAATCCTACACCTAATTCTCACACCATGCTTACTGATGAAAGGTTAGAAACGTTCTCTCTGAGAGCAAGAGAAAGCAGCATGGACGCTTCAGGTTCAGTCTCTCTCCTCAAGCCAACCTCTAAAGTCTATACAGCACAGGATTCCATGGAAGTAACATTGTCTAAACTGTCAGAGGGGAGAAATGGAGGCACGCGGGGGTTGGGGGGGGGGCTGTAAGTGAGCACCTGGAAGCAGGAAGTCAGTCTTGAGGTGATGGGGGGGTTACTGATGATACCTACCCATGTGACAAGTGCACAGAACCGATGGTGGCTTTCTGAGTTTAACACTGCACTACTGATTACATCTGATAAAACCAACTGGGGAAACTGGATAGCGGGCACACAGGACGCCTCCCGTGCAATGACTACAGTTAATCAAAAGCTGGAATAAAGGTGCTGACTGTGAGCATTACAATTAACTGAGGCAATATGTAAAGTTCTAAACCTTATTTTAATTAAGCTCACTGATGCAGAACTTTTTTGTTCTTTCTAAATGTTTAAGTGTGGAGAATTCAGGTAACCTAACGTTTGTCTCATCCACATTTTAAGTGTGTGATTCAGCAGTGTTAAGATAACTCACCACATAGTGCAACCAAACTCCAGAACTCTTCTCATCTCGCCAAAGTACAGCTCCACGCCCACAACACTGGAGCAGCTCCCACACCCCACACCCTGCTCTTCCCACCCGGGAATCCTCTCTGATTCCTCTCCAGCAGGAACTTGGGCGGTTCTAAGTGCAGACACAAGCAGGCTATTCCCGAGAATGACATGGGACGCATGGCAGCAGCCGCCACCATCCAGCCTGTGTGCCCCACTGCGCACCCCTGGGAAGGCACACCAGCCGAAGGGCAGTCTGTCCACCCCGCGAATAGGCAACAGACTCGGGACCGCTGGAGTCTGACTCAACCCACATACCAAGGTCCAAACTCGGGTCTCTGGGGCTGCCCCTGGGACCTGGGCCAACACATGCCCACAGGGGTTTGTCCTTGTGGTTTCCCAAGCAGGGACCCCCGGGGACACCTTCCCATCCTTGGCCCTTCGAAAGGCCACACATCTGGAATTCGGCGTGCCTTGAGACTTTCCCTCTAAAAATGTCTGCTGGTCACTGCTGGAGTCGCTGCCGCAACAGAACGCAGGGGAACTTCCAGTTCCTGTGGGCTGCCCCTGCGCCGAGGCGGGAGGAGAGGCGCACACCTGGGGCTCAATGACCAGAGCAAGAACTCTGCCTGAGCTACTGCACACAGTGGCTTCAGAAAGCCCCCACAGGCTTAGCCCCGTAACACAGCATCCTAATGAAAAAAAAACCCTAGATCACTTTGCAAGCAGAGATGCATCTGTGAAAGAGGAAAACCAGGCCTACTGTCTCTGAAAACAAAAGTTACAGCTCTCCCACCAGGGCAGCTAATAAGCTTATAAAACCCTTGAGCATTCAAAAAGTGAGGAGATGGCTGAGGGGACAACTTAGTGGGTTTTCTTCCCTCAGCAAACATCGGAGAGCACTTTCTCTAATACCAAAGGGTGATGTGTGCTTGTAGGGACGGCAGAGGCTGTACCCGGGCATGAGAGAGATCACCAGTTACCTTGCTCCTGAGGAGCCTTGGCCCAGGGGCGGGAGCGGAGCCTGCGGAGGGGCCTCATCTCAAAGGGGAGTAAAAGGCAGGCGTGCGCACCCCGGAGGCTGCCCTCAGCGTTCTCTTAGGTCCGTAGAGGAATGCCGCCCGCGTCCATGCTCTGGCCGGCAGCGGGTAGGCACACAGGAGATGCGGGCCCCAGGCGCCAGGCGGGCGATGGATGAAAGCAAACCCCAGAATTTTGGAGCTGCTTAACAGAAATCCAAGGTACGGGAACGAAGCGCCCCAGTGTGGGTGTGCGGCTTGCCAGAGCAGCGCTCCCAGAGAGCCGGGAAGGATGGATTAGCCCCGCGCCGCTCCACCCTTCCCACCCAAGGAGCGCCTGAAGATCTCGACCCGGTAGGGTGCGGCCTGACAGCCTGTCCTCTCCCAGGTGTCAGAGCTGCGGCCAGCGACCACCCTGGAGTAGCAAGGGCTCTGTCCCCGGGGGAGGGAACGCGGGCCCAGCGCAGCTGCCAAAGGTTCTTCCTGAGGAACACCCCAAGTTCTGCAGCAGCAGCGACCTCAGAAGGGCCGGCGACGCCACACTGCCGGAGAAGCACCTGACCTCGGCGCCCTCGCGCCCAGCAGGTCCAGGGAAGGCGGGAGGTGCGCGCTCGCATGGGGAGCGGCTGGCGCTAGCTCTTACCTGCGCTCGCCCTGGTCTGTGTAGACGTTGAGGAACAACCCCTCCCTGGTGTCCTCGAACACCGGGCCGGAGAAGCTGAGCTGCAGCTCATAGCGGGCCCCCGGCTGCAGGGCCTCGCCCAGCTCCAGCACCATGTACTGCGTGTCCAGCGCGAACCACACGTTGTCCACCGGCACGCGGCCCGCGGCCGCGGCCCTGGTGCCAGGGGGCAGGGGGCCGCGCACCTCGGCGCGCTCGCAGTCTAGGAAGAGGCTGTGTAGCAGCAGCCGCGTGGTGGCCGCGGTGCAGCGCACCGTGATATTCACGCGGCCGCTGAAGCGCACCCTGGGCACCGCAAGCGCGTCCGGCCGCAGCCGGGGCCACAGCTCTAGGTCGTAGTGCAGCGGCACAAGCCAGGGCGGCAGGCGCAGCTGGTCCCAGGGTCCCGGGGGTCGCCAGTCGCTCGAGGAGGTCGTCGCCGCCCGCTCCGGTGCAGAGCTGGATTTTGGAGTAGGCTGGGTCTCCTCTTGCCCGAAGGGAGGAGAGGACGCAGAGTCGGGGACGCCCGGGACCTTGGGTTCCGATGGCGGGGCGCGCACGGAGTGTCCGTACAGGGCTGCCAGCACGGCCAGCGCCAGCAGGAGCGCGGCGACCACCCCGGCGAGCAGCAGGGCCACCGCGCGGCTCAAGTAGAAGCCGGAGCTGGAAGGGGACCCCATGGCGCGCGCCTCGCCGGAGCGGGATGAAGTCCGGAGTCGGCGGCAGCAGCTGGAATCCCGGCCCGGCGCTCAGGACTGGGTCCCGCGCCCCTCCTCTCTCGTCCTGTCCCTCCGCCTGCTCGAGGAGCGGAGGAGAACTGTGGCTTACCCCTCGGAGCTAATCAAATCCAGGCCCCTGCTTCCCCACCCCCACCCGCCACAGCCCTCGAGGAGGCGGGACCGGCGCACTGAGGCGCGCGCCCCTGGGGAATGCGGGGTGGGCCAGCACCGAGGAGCTAGCGGGCAAGCCAGGCTCGCTCCTGGACACCTGCGGCGGGGTTACCTGGCTCGAGGAGATTCCCCGGGATGTGCCGTTTGTTTAAAGGAATCGGCACCGAGCACCCTGGCTTCCTTGACGCTGTGGAGGGCAGAGCGTCCAGCGCCGCACCTGCTGGGCCCGCACCCAGACTTGGTGTGTTGGGGCGCGGGGTGGGGTCTCCGGGCCCGCACATTGGGAACGCGCTGTGAAAGGACCCCAAAGGGCGGCCACTCCATCAGGATGACTTTCTGAAGCCAAATCCATGGCTCTAAACTCGCCGCTGCAATGATCCCGAGACACGCGGCCCGGGCAGCCAGTGAAGGATGGGAATCAGGTCGGGAGTCCGGGGCGCCTCGGCAACTTGGGAGCCCGGCCGGCCGGGGAAGCGGCAGCAGAACGCCAGGGAGCGCGGTGCTCGCGGGTCCCGGTGAGGCCAGGCCGGGGCTCGACCTGAAGCTTCCGCGCAGCCCAGCAAGTGTCCGGAGCCGCGCCTCCGCCCGGGAGAGGGCGCGTCCTGCTCCCAAACCCGGCGCGTTTCCAGCAAAAGAAACAGAGCCTAACGGAAACTCCGGGGCCAACCCGCTTCCCGGGCGCGGCCTCTGAAGCCATAGGCTCCAGGCTCTCTCCAGAGCAACCCGGTTTTAGAGCCAACAGCTCGGCCTGCAAGGACGCCTCGCACCTGGGCGCGCACGCCGTGGGCCAGGTGGTGCTCCTGGGAAGCTCGCGGCTCCTGACCGCGAGATCGGGGGGGGGGGGGGGGGGGCGAAAGCCGATTTGACATCCACCTCTCGCAGGTGCGGGTGCTGGGAGCCTCCTGACTCTGGATCTGCTCCGCTGCGCCTGCTCCCTGGGCAGAGGGGCATCCGCAGAGGAGGGGCTCATCAACGAACCCTGGCGTTCCCACGCCCTGCTCAGGTGCTTGAGGATTTGGGGCGAGGTCAGATGCCGAGGGAGGGGCACAGGTGGACATGAGTGTTTAATTCCATTTCCCTAAAGTCATTAAACAGACACTGGCTCCCACACAGATTCACTGTCATCAAAGCACGCCAAAGGATCCAGCAAGCATCTTACTAAGAATGAAACATTTCTGACCATCATGAATGTCACTCAGGTGTTGCAAAACAGCAGATTGGCTGAGCCAGAGCTAAGATAACAATTTTAAAAGAACTGAGAAAGTAGTATGTGAAACAGCTGACATCTCTGCGAAAAAACCCCAGATGACAGGAAAACATTCCCTACAAAATAAAAATAAATAAGAGCTGTTAAAATCTAACATCACGGCTAACGCGGTGATTCTCAGTAGGGCTTGATTCCGGTGCCCCTCCCCATTTGTCGATGTCTGGTCACACTTCTGATTGCCACAACTGGGAGGAGGGAACGTTACTGGTTGCTAGTGGGTAAGTCTCCCACAGTGCACAGGATGGCTCCCCTCAGCAAAGTATCCTGCCCAAAAGGCAATCCCTGCACCTATTCAGAAACCCTGAGGTCAAACAAAACCCACACCTTTTCCGTACTTGCCAAGAAAAATGTGAGCTTCAACTTTCTGTCACTATCCGTCTGCATGCATAAGCGTTGGCATGTCCTCCGTTGTCCACCTTTCTTGGTATTTAGGATGAACTCTGAGAGCGCTGTCCCTCTTAGGCTACAAGACTTAATTTGTCTTTTCTGATTTACTTTGAAAATTCAGCTTTCAAATGCGTAATATATAAAGAAGGATCAAAAATCAAAACAGTAACAAAACACATATATTGAAATGTCTTGCTTCTACTGCTTTCATAATGATTTCAAATAGCTTTTACAATAGAAGAAGGCCCAAATCCTTGGCCCCTGCACCCGTGTGGGAGGCTTGGAAGAAGCTCCTGGCTCCTGACCAGCCCAGCTCTGGCCGTTGCAGCCATTTGGGAAGTGAACCAGCAGATGAAAGCTTTCTCTCTCTCTCTCTCTCTCTCTCACTATGATTTTCAAATAAAGCAAACAAATAATGGAAAAATAAAAATAAAATAAACTCATCACATTTTCCTAAAAGGAAAAACTCAGGAATGAGATAGCCACAGAGGCTCTGAAAACCTCTAACATCTCCCCAGAAATCTGGAAGGCCACGCAGGCCCAGAGCCATGACACGTGCTTAGGGAGGATCCAGGAAGGCCCCAGGCTCTCGCTGGCAGCTGACCTGGAGGCCCTGCCTGAGCTGGGTGTGAAGGCCAAGGCAGAGCTCTGAACCACCTGGCTGAGAACTGAAGGAAACCTCAACACACACACACACACACACACACACACACAGCCTCGTCACGGAGGCTGAGGCTTTCTGGTTCTAGGCACTTTAGGAAATCTGTCTCATCACGAGCTGGTCACTAGGCTGGCTGAGCAAGGGCATCAGCAGCCAACAGAAAAAGAATCAGACTGTACTGAGTTCATTCAGACAAGTCACTAAAGCAAAAACAAAAGAAATGACAACAGTGAGCAGCAAGCCCTTTCTAGGGAAGAGACTCTGATCTTCAGAGTTATCCGGTTGTTTTAATTCCATTTTTTCCAGTAAGAAATGTTAAGACGTGCAAAGAAACAAAGTATCCCAGGGGCTGGCCTTGTAAGCTGCTGCTGCAACACTGTCATTCCACATCAAAGTTCCAGTTCAAGTCCTGGCTGCTCCACTTCTGATCCAGCCCCTTGCTAATGTGCCTGGGAAAGCAGCAGAAGATGGCCCAAGTGCTTGGGCCCCTGCACCCGTGTGGGAGCCTGGAGGAAGCTCCTGGCTCCTGGCTTCAGTCTGGCCCAGCCCTGGCTGTTGCAGCCATTTGGCAAGTGAACCATAGGATGGAAAATCTCTCTCTCTCTCCCTTCCTCCCTCCCTCCCTCCCAAATAAATAAATCTTTTTTAATAATTAGTTATTTATTTGAAAGTTAGAGTTACACAGATTGAGAAGGACAGGCAGAGAGAGAGAGAGAGAGAGAGAGGTTTTCCATCCTATGGTTCACTCCCCAATTTGTTGCAATGGCTGGAGCTGTTCCAATCCGAAGCCAGGAGCCAGGAGCACCCTCCAGCTCTCCCATGCGGGTGCAGGGGCCCAAGCACTTGGGCCATCTTCCACTGCTTTCCCAGACCATAGCAGAGAGCCGGATCAGAAGTGGAGTAGCTGGAACTCAAACCAGGAGCCCATATGGGATGCTGGCACTGCAGGCTGGGGCTTTAACCCTCTGCACCACAGCGCCGGCCCCAAATAAATCTTTTAACAAATCAAAATGAAAGATCCACTAAATGAGCTCAACAGTAGCCTTTTTTTTTTTTTTAAAGATTTATTTATTTTATTTGAAAGTCAGATTTACAGAGAGAAGGAGAGGCAAAGAAAGAGATCTTCCATCCGCTGGTTCACTCCCTAATTGGCCGCAATGACCGGCGCTGCACCGATAAGAAGCCAGAAGCCAGGCGCTTCCTCCAGGTCTCCCATGTGGGTGCAGGGGCCCAAGGACTTGGGCCACTTTCTACTACTATCCCAGGTCGCTATCCCAGGTCATAGCAGAGAGCTGGATCGGAAGTGGAGCAGCAGGGACTTGAACCGGCGTCCATATGGGATGCTGGCCCTGCAGGCGGCAGCTTTACCTGCTACACCACAGAGCCGGCCCCTCAACAGTAGGCTTTATCAAAAGAAGAAAGAACAAAGGAATACAGACAGGCAAATGAGATTATTCAATCTGAGGAACAGAAATAGGGGAGGGGAAATGAAGACAAAATGTACAGAGCCTAAGGAACCATGAGATACAGCCAAGCAGACAAACATAAACATCGTGGGAATTCCAGAGAAAAAAAGAGAAAGAGAGAGAAAGAGGGGGTCAGAGATTGTTTGAAGAAATTATGGGCCGGCGCAGTGGTTCAATAGGCTAATCCTCCGCCTTGTGGCGCCGGCACACCGGGTTCTAGTCCCGGTCAGGGCACCAGATTCTGTCCCGGTTGCCCCCCTTCCAGGCCAGCTCTCTGCTATGGCCAGGGAGTGCAGTGGAGGATGGCCCAAGTGCTTGGGTCCTGCACCCCATGGGAGACCAGGAGAAGCACCTGGCTCCTGCCTTTGAATCAGTGTGGTTCGCCGGCGCAGCGCGCCGGCCGCGGCAGCCATTGGAGGGTGAACCAACAACGGCAAAAGGAAGACCTTTCTCTCTGTCTCTCTCTCTCACGGTAAACTCTGCCTGTAAAAAAAAAAGAAAGAAAGAAATTATGGCTGGGGCCAGCACTGTGGCGTAACAGGTAAAGCCACTGCCTGCAGTGTCAGCATCCCATACGGGTGCCAGTTCGAGTCCCATCTGCTCTGATGCAGCTCTCTGCTAAGACCTGGGAAAGCAGTAGAAGATGACCCAAGTCCTTGGGCCCCTGCACCTGCATGGGAAGACCTGGAGGAGGCTCCTGGTTCCTGGCTCCAGATTTGCGCAGCTCCTGCTGTTGCGGCTAACTGGGGAGTGAACCAGTGGATGGAAGACCTCTCTCTCTCTCTCTCTCTCTGTGTAACTCTGACTTTCAAATAAGTAAGTAAATCTTGAAAGAAAAAAAGAAAAAGAAAAAGAAAGAAAAGAAAAAGAAAAAGAAAAAGAAAAGAAGAGAAGAGAAGAGAAGAGAAGAGGGAACAAAAAATGGCTAAAACTTCCCCAAAGTTGGGGCAAGACACAAATCTACAAATCCAAAAACTTCTACAGATTCCAAGTGGGGTAAAAAAGAGATCCATACCACAGTACATTTTAATCACACTATGGATAGCCGAAGCCCAAGAGAGGATCTTGATAGCAGCGAGGGAGCAGTGACCCATCACAAACAAGCAATCACCAACAGACCACCACCATATTTCTCATCAGAAACCTTGGATACCAGGGCCGGCGCTGTGG